CCCCCCCCGCTCCTGTCTGTGCCTTTGGTTCAGAACATTGTCTAGCTGGAGCCCTCAGGGTTAGGAAGGTGCTGACCTTCTGCTTTGTTTTTCTCCCCTGCTCTTTGCTGTGCTTGTTCAGGACACACATTTGAAAGACGCGCAGAGGAATTGAAGGGGGAAAGGAAGGGATAGCCCCTCCCAGATGTGAGTGAGTTCACTAGTGAGGTCTGGATTGAAGTGTCATTGCTAGTATCCTTTATCGAGTGGTTTATTGAGTACAGGGAATACTATTCTTTGTGTTGCTTTTTGTTTTTTAATTGCAGTATATAGTGGATTTACAATGTCGTGTTATCTTCAGGTGAACAGCAAAATGACTCAGTACACACACATATATGTATGTATATACACTCTCTCAGATTCTTTTCCCTTACCGGTTATTACAAGATATTGACTAGAGTTCCCTGTGCTATACAGTAGGTCTTTATTGATTATGTATTCTATATATAGTAGTGTGTATATGTTAACCCTAACCTCCTAATTTATCCCTACCTCCACCCACCCTTCCCCTTTGGTAACCATACGTTTGTCTGTGAGTCTATTTCGGTTTTGTAAATAAGTTCATTTGTATCGTGTGTGTGTGTGTGTGTGTTGGTTTTGATTTAATTTTCAGCCAATAAGTACCTGCTTAGTTGACTTTGTATAAAAATGTGGCTGAATAAGTTAAATGTATAAATTTTATGGAGAAGCGAGAATTCTGACCCCGCTGGGTCTGTGGTCTGGCTTCCGTGGTTCCCAATGAGGAAGCTGAGGCTGTGATTGGGAGCCCCCCCCGCCCGCCCCGCCCCCGCCCCCGCTGCCCCTCTGGCTGTGTGTGGGGTCCCAGCATGCCCTCCACGTGGGTGCTGTCTGATTTTCTTTTTAATGGCCAGTGTTCTATAGAAACCATCACATAGTGCAGATAACCGTGTTAACGTTTGATATGTAATCCTTCAGACATCTTCCTGTGTATATGTCACATAAAGTGCCTGAAAGTCCCAGAGTGTAGCGGTATGAAGTCTGGCTCTGGAATTCAAACCATGTAGGTTCGTACCATGTGACTCAGCAATTCTGCTCCTAGATATACATCTGAAAAAAAACAAAAACATTAATTTGAAAAGATACGTGCACTCAGTGTTCATAGCAGCACTATTCACAATAGCCAAGGTATGGAAGCAACCTAAGTGCCCATCCACAGATGAATGCATAAAGGAGATGTGGTACGTATATGCAATGGAATATTACTCAGCCATAAACAAGAAAGAAATTCTGCCATTTGTGGCAACATGGAAGGACTTGGAGGGCACTGTGCTAAGTGAAGTAAGTCAGACAGAGAAAGATAAATACCGTATGATATCACTTATATGTGGAATCTAAAATATGATACAAATGAACTTATTTACAAAACAGAAACAGACTCACAGATAAAAGAGAATAAAGGAGTGGTTACCAGTGGGGAGAGGGAGGGACAGGGGCAATATAGGGATAGAGGATTTTTTAAAAAGGATTATTATGGGATTATATGAAATCATGTGTGTGAAACTTTGGAAAATTGTAAAGCGCTATATAATTAATTAATTTAGAAAACGTGTAGGTTCAGATCCTGGTTCTGACATTAGCAATGTCTCTTTGGTTAAGGTGCAATGCCTTCTGGGAAACCCCATACTCCCATCCAGGAAATAAGAGCATGGGAAGCGCTTTCCTCATTGTGGGGGAGGATGGATGAATTAATGAGACCTTGGCCTAGGGGAAGCCCCCGATAAATGTTAGCACTTACTATTAATGTTTTTGTAAGAAATGGGATCATATTTCTCATTCTGTTTTGTAACTTATTTTTTGAACTATCATGAACACTTCTCTATAGCATTCTTTTTGTGATTGCATTTATAACCACATCATATGACATGCTGTGATTGATTTAGTGCTTGAACTTGTATGCAGGCCAAAGAGCCGTCTGTGAAGCCCATCCTTGGAAAGCAGTTCTGGGTTCTGATGGCCAAATCTAGAGATGCTTGAGACCTTTAGTATCACAGGGTTTGATCCAAGCAAGGATTTAGTGTTCTTATAAGCGTTGTGTAAGCATCGTCCCTCTCTCAGACAGTAATAAACAGCTAACCATTCCAAGTTTCTCTAAGGATATTGTAAGCTTCTGCCATTTCGTATGCAGCTGTCCTCGTGTTCTGTTACTTATCACAGCACTTACTTTCTGCCTTGATAAGTGAGTAGGTTTCTACATATTTCCCCGACTCTAGCTTCTGAGCACTCAGATGACCAGCTGAGTTGAAAAAAGTGCCATAATTCTGCCCTAAGCTGGCGATAATGCCGCAGCAGAGGGGGAGGTGGGGGAGGGGGAGAGCCTTTCTTATTCAAATGCTCGTGCTCCGGGAATAAAGTGGATGAGTAAGTATACTTAGGTCGTAAGAGAGATTATTAGCAGGGGGAGACACATTGGAACTCGCTGAAAGAGCGGCCTTTGTGTCCAGAGAGGCGGGCGCTGGGTAGTCACCAGCCCAGTTCTCTGCCCGTCTCCTCGTCCTCCTTTTTCACGCTCGTGGGGTCTGAATAGCTGTCTCTTGCCTGTTCATCCCCGCAGGAATGTGGCTTTGGCTACGGGGAGGATGCCCAGTGTGTGAGGTGCTGGCCGCACAGGTTCAAGGAGGACTGGGGCTTTCAGAAGTGCAAGCCGTGCCTGGACTGCGCCCTGCTGAGCCGCTTCCAGAAGGCCAACTGCTCTGCCACCCGCGACGCCATCTGTGGGGACTGCCTGCCCGGGTATGTGGCCAGTCCTTCCCGTGTAACGAGTCAGTTAGTCTGAACAGGCTTTTCTCTGCAGAAAAGTGCAGATGCCCGCTGATATTAACCTGAACACACTTGCCGAGGTTCGTGGCTTTTCTATTCTCTGGGCCTCCTGTGTGCCCTGCACGGCGACAGGCGTGGTTAGAATGCAGTGGATAAGTGTGGTGACCGAGGCTCAGTGTCCCGAAAATCCTCAGAGTTCCTGCAGATCGATAAAACAGAAAACATGGACAAAGGGACGAAAGAAAAAACTAGACAGTTCACAAAAGAGGAACGTGTGTGGCCTGTGACCATACAAAGATGTCCATCCTCAACATGATTGGAGAAATGCAAATACCGCCATCCAGTCATTTCTGCAGTATTTTGTAAGACATCACTTTGGGGAGGGAGACAGAGATCCCCATCCACAGGCAGCTTATATCCTAATAAGATTTGACAAATACCTACACAGTAAATGATAAGTTATACAAAAAGCTGGAAGATATGATTGCTATGGAAAAAAAGAAAATCTCAAGCAGCTCAGGGCGTTGGGTGTGCCCCTGGGGGATGCAGGGGATGCAGGTTGCAGGATCAAAGTGGGTCATCAGGATGGGCGATGCTGAAAAGGTGAGCTCTCTCTGGACACAGGCCCTGAGGTGGACATGGCCTGGTGTATTTCAGAAACTGCCAAGAGGCCAAGGCAGCTACAGGAGAAGGGAGAGCGGAGAAGTGGGAGAGGCAGTGAGAGCAGTGGTGGGTGGGCAGCTGTACCGGTGGAGACCTTAAATGGGCACATTGAAAAGGAACCCAGGCCGTGGACAGCAAGGGGACCACACCTGGGCCAGGTGGGGAGACAAAGCCCAGGAGGAGGAACTTTCACATTTTAAGTGCTTCTAGGTAACGGTTGGCCGGACATGCCAGATAAAACAGGCAGCTGGAAGCCAGAGTCCTGATGAAGCCCGGGACTCAGTGGGGCCAGTGTGGTGGTCTGTTAGGGGCGAGGCATTGCTGCAGGAAGTAAGGAGGGGAGGGGACAAAGTGAGCATCAGGAGAACCTAATTAGTATCTAGTAGAGCCAGAGGAGAGATCAGGATTCCTGGAGCTTTCCTGGAACCCAGGCTTTATTGCAGAAGTAAAGCAACCAGGGCCGGCAGCATGACGGGAGCAGCAAACTGTATTACGTAGTGGCTAAGCAGTTTACATGAATTATTGTCTGTGACATTCACAGTGTTTTAAAAACGAAGAAAGTGAGCCTTATCATTAAGGTTATTCAGGCGAGATGACACAGGCAGTGCGCAGTGTGGCCTGGACTCTGCCACCAGAATCCACGCTCCAAGTCAGTGCAGACGGAGGACCCTGACTGCACTCCTCCGGCTCGTGCCCACGGGAGCAGGGATTTGACAGATGCTGGGTGCCAGCTCTGGGGCTTTTAATGAAGCCAGAGGGCAGATAAAGCTCTGGGCCTGAAGGCCAGAAACAGGGCAGGAAATAGCTTCATGGGTCAAGCAAGTCCTTAGGCGAAGACTCAGAACCCAAACGAATGCAAAAAGTAGTGGTCTTACCCCAGCAGCACAAGTGACCAAAGAAAAAATAGCTATATTTGACTTCATCAAAATTAAAGCCTTTTGTGCTTCACAGGATACCATCAAGAAATTGAAACAACAACCCCCAGAATTAAAGGAACTATTCGTAACTCATATATGTGATAAGGGACTATCTTATCTAGCATATATAAAGAACTCTTACAACTCAATAACAAAAAGACAAATAACCCAATTAAAATATGGGCAAAGGATCTGAATAGACATTTCTCCAAAGAAGAGACACAAATGACCAGTGAGCTCATGAAAAGATACACAACATCAATTAGTCATCAGCAAATGCAAAAAAAGAAAAAAGGAAAAAAAAAAAGACCCACATGCTTCACACCCACCAGGATGGTTATAACCAAAAGACAGGCAGTAACAGGTGTTGGTGAGGATGTGGAGAAACTGGGAACGTAAAATTGTGCAGCCACTTTGGAAAACAGTACGGCGTTTCCTCAGAAAGCTGCACATAGAGTTTCCACGCGACCCAACACTTCTACTCCTGAGCGTGTAACCAAGGGAACTGAAAACATGTCCACACAAAAACTTGTACACGGATGTCCACAGCAGCCTTATACATGAGAGTCAAAAAGTAGAGATGACCCAAACGTTCGTTAGCTGATGAATGGATAAACAAAATGGAGTGTATTTAGCAATGGAATATTATTCAGCGGTAAAAAGGAATGAATTACTGATACATATGACAACATGGAGAAACCTAGAAAACGTTATGCTAAGTGAAAGAAGCCAATCACAAAAGAACACATATTGTAGGATTCCATTGGTGTGAAACGTCCAGAATGGGCAGATCTAAAGAACACAAAGTAAATTAGTGGTTTTCTAGGGCTGGTGGTTGGGACGGGTTGAGAGGAAGGGGGAGTGATTGCCAAAGGGTACAGAGTTTCTTTTCTTCCCTGATGAAAATGTTCTAAAAGTGACTGTGCTGATGTTAACACAGCTCCGTGAGTGTACTAAAGACCATTTACGTGAATACTTTAAAGGGGTAGATTGCGTGGTATGTGAAGAGTATATCTCAGTGATCTCTTATGTTTTTAGAAAGTAGTGGCCTGTAATCTCAGAAGACACTGATAGCCGTGAATGTATTCCCCAAAGTCTTGAGCTTGTGCAAATCTGATGGAAGGACAGAAACTGGGCACCCGATACCTCTCTGCTCCTGTTCTGACGGAACCGGGTCTTGACTCCTCTGCCCTCTCCGCCGGGGAAGAGGATGGGGGGTCAGGGAGAGGAGGGGTCCACGGGGGATGCCAGGCTGAGCTGGGCAGTGCCCAGAGACCCAGGCGTGGGCTGCTGGAGCGTGAGAGGGAGCCCCCACCAAACATGCTTCCTCGCGCTTCACCGAATTTGTTGTCACCTGAGCCCACTGCTTTAGTGTCACGATGTTTGCTCATTCTGTAAATAGATGCTTAGATGTGGGAAAGTTAGAAATGAGTAGACATTTGAATGGTGTTTCGTAGTTGATTTATATGATTAGTTTAAAATTACATCCTTTCTAAGCAAGCATGAAGGTATGAGGCAGGCAGCAATTACAGAGTGACTTCTACTCTTCCAGGTCTTCCAGGGTGTTTTCAAAGTGCTCACCCAGCTTGACTGTGTTTTTGTGAAAGAGGAAAATAGTTGACACCCGTTTGACAGACAGGAAAATTGAGGCAGAAAGAAAATAAACAAATTGCGTATTGCCCCCAGAAAAATGCCAAGGTCAGGCATAAGGTGGGCAAGTTTATTCCTGGTGTGACGCCTGCCCTCTGCGGCCGCGGCCTCACTCAGATCAGGATCTTCTGCTGCCCAAAGGCCCAGCCCCGCACCGGACACCGGTGTGGAAAGTCTGTCCTCTGTGCTACAGTTTGACCAATTAGGGAAATTCAGTGCCCTCGTTCCCAAATATGGTCAACAGCTTTCGGCCAGTTACTTAATTTCTCTGACATTGATTCTTCTCACCTATAAAAATATCATCTAATAATAATACCAGCCTACAGAATTGTCAGAAGGATTAAGAACATAGCTCATGTAGAGCGCCTAGCAGAGCGCCTAGTACACAGTAAGCACTAGATAAATCACTGACATTGTTGCCAGTTAATGGTATTGGGGGCCAGTGAAAGCTTTGCCGAAAGTGGCCAAAGGGCCTCCAGCCCCTGTTCTGACCCACGCCCCCTTCCCTTCTCTGCGAGGGGACCTGGGGCCCCGCCCTGGAAGAGTAACCCAGCCCCTGCCAGTTCTTTGCTGCTTTTAGTAACCAGGATGGTTAACATTAGGGATTAACATCACCCCCTCCTTACAAAGGAGGAAGTCCATCCTTGGAGCGGATAAATGACTTGCTCGAGTCCTGTTTCGCTGCCCCTGAGGATGGCCTCTGCCGGTTCTGTACCCACTCCCCCCTCAACCCCCGTCAGCCCTGCTCCCCAACCGCCTGGTCCGTCCTCCGTCCTGCTTACAGTGGCACTTGGCAACCCTTGCCGATCCCGAGCGCCCCAGGCGACACCAGGCTTTTCCCCTGACGGTCATCTTTTCAGTAGCATCTTCTCAGTGTCATTGGGGCCATCGCTTTGGCTGCCGAGAACTGTGAACAGGAGGCTGACCCTCCAGCACAAACAGGGAGCCCACGGGTGTGTAGGAGAGGGCAGAATTGTCACCCGCCCCCGGCAGATGCGCTGCAGGAAATGGGACCTGATGTCACACACAGGACGTGGCAGCTGCATTCAGACCTGTGTTAAGGGAGATCGTTCTGAAACCAGGGCTGGACTGGGGTCTGTCGTCCCCCTGCAGAAATGCGTTCATTGGTGGAAGAGTTAGTGTCTGCAACCAGGCTTTCTTAAAATAGCACTTATCAAGCTGCTGTTCATTAGACTAAGTAGTATTATTTGGGTTCAGCTCAATTAAAAACGCCTCTTCACATTCAGTGTTGGGGAATATTTTGGGTGGATAGATGTATTTATATGCTGCATCTCATCAGACAGTAAATTAGATAAAATTCAGTGTGGTTTCCTTTTGTCTCTTTGCATTAGCTGAAAGCACGGAGTAAAATTTAAAGTTCAACGATAAAAAGCAGTTTAACCAGACACCGTGTATATGTCTCTGTTCTCTTTTGTCTTACTTAATTTTTAAAAATGTGTGTCCTGTCTCATTTGGTCAGGAGCAGAGTTGCAAATATATCTATGTCCCCCAAACCTTGGCAATCTAAACAAAATAGAGAGCAGAATAATTTTTAAAGATTTATAGATTTCTTTACCCACTTAATCTTTTGTCACATCTTAAAACTCTAATTTCTGTACCTTCATCTTCAAACTGGATGATAATTTTAAGGAGACTTTTTAAAAATAAAAAATGTCGTTGATCGTTAATACATAATTGGTGATTCAGTAATTATTCTGTGCTTTAGGATTCAGACCTTAATCT